GTTGTTGACTTGGCATCCTTATGACCACCAAAACTGTTTTTTTTATTTTCATGTGGACTGAGAACTGAGCATGTGTGGATGGGATTATAAAAATTTCAATTCCCTACTGAAAAGTTAAGGTAGACCTTTTTTGCCCCACGGTCAGTCTTTTAGGCCTTTAAAAAAAGGAATTCTAAAAAGTGTCTTAAGAGATATAGGAAGCAGTTTTATCACAGTGACTTGTGGTATAAACAACATCTGACTTCTTCATATATTACAGTCTTGCCAATATCCTGTTTCCCTGACACTAGAGCAGCATGTGTGCACTGAGGGTCACTGTGGTCTGCCTGACTAGATGAAAGCTGTGGTCATTTCAGAAGACCCAATAACCCAGCATAACACAAGCCTCACCTTCTTCATTTCCTGCCGTAATAACAATCAACAGATATATTTTGTAAGCAAATAAGAAGGGAGTTTATGAAGATTTCCAGGCCTCGTCTTACGCAAGCTACATAAATAATTGGGGTATAATAGCTGAAAGTTTTGTCACAGTTGTGATAATAAGACAATGATTAGCAAAGTGATTAGGGGGGAATCTGTCAGTGAAAAGATGAGCTGAGATGAGATGAAGTAGAGAAGAGCATTACAATTTCTAATGTCTATGGGGATCTCAGCTGTGATATGAGCCGAGGAGACTGCTGGGATTTCAATGCTGGTCTGCGTGTTTGTGTGTGAAGGAGAGTATTTATGTGTGTGTGTGTGTGTGTGTGTGTGTGTGTGTGTGTGTGTGTGTGTGTGTGTGTGTGCGTGTGCGTGTGCTTGTGTGTCTCAAAACAGACAGATGAACAACCACAAATAGCAAGAGAATGAGAGAGAGCAAGATATGGATGGAGGTACAGAGAGAGAGAGAGAGAGAGAGAGAGAGAGGAGACAGAGAGAGAGAGAGAGAGAGGGAGAGAAAGAGAGAGAAAGAGAGCAAGATATGGATGGAGGTACAGAGAGAGAGAGAGAGAGAGAGAGACAGAGAGAGAGAGAGAGGGGGAGAGAAAGAGAGAGAAAGAGAGCAAGATATGGATGGAGGTACAGAGAGAGAGAGAGAGAGAGAGAAGGAGACAGAGAGAGAGAGAGAGAGAGAGAGAAGGAGACAGAGAGAGAGAGGGAGAGAAAGAGAGAGAAAGAGAGCAAGATATGGAGGTACACAGAGAGAGAGAAAGAGAGAGAGGGAGAGAGCAAGATATGGAGGTACAGAGAGAGAGAGAGAAAGAGAGAGAGAGAGAAAGGGAGAGAGACATGATGCTAAGAGCAGGTTTGAGAATGACCATGAGTCGATGGCAAGTGAGACAGACAAACTATTTAATGGTACATTTGTTAAGACAATAATAAGCTGGAGTTCATATTTCAATATCATATCAGTGTCACTCCTGCATGTGTGCAAAATTAATTATCTGAGTTGTAATAAATGAGCACTGCTGGATATCTCACCCGATGTGTTTCTTTCTATTACACACACCATTACCCCTATGTCAAAGAAATTTCTTGTTTCTTAAAGATCATCCATCATCTATTGCCAATCTACATTTGAAATGACACACACTTGTGATGCTTGTGATTTTTTCTCCTCTTGTTACCAAGGAACATATTGCTGAAGCTTTGATTAGTTTGTTGGCATCTTGGGAAACATTTGCTTGGTGCTCTAGATTTTTAAAAGACGAGAGTGATACCACTCTTACATCTTAATCTAAAGTACAGCTAGCAGCCTGCTAGCTTAGTAAAGCATAAAGACTACACACATAGGAAAACAGCCTGACATTCAAGATGTGTTTATTTGTGAGTTTGAGAGGTTTCTGTTGGCAGATTCTGTTACCTTTGAACTGTGTTCAGACTTATTGCTGAGCTAAAGCAATCACTAATATGTTGCTGTAGAAGAGAAAGTGACATCATGTTAAAGGGAAAGTTTGGTATTTTTTAAGTAGGGTTGTATGAGGAACTTGTCAATAGTTCATGTATTACCCACAGGAGATGCTGAGCCTCTTTTATTGAGAAACCAGCTGGAGTGCTGGAACGAAAGCTCGGCTACACAGGACGGCTGTGGTTCAGTGGTAGAGTCAGTCGTCTCTACTCAAGAAGGTTTGAGCTTCAATCCAAAAGTCCTGCAGGCACATTTCAGATGTGTCCTTGGGCAAGACACTTAAACCCAAATTGCTCCAGCTGATGTGTGAATGTGTATGAATGGGATTAGTTAGTACTGATGACCACTTTAAATAGCATCCTCTGCCATTAGTGTGTGAATGGGTAGGTGTGACCTGCAGTGTAAAATCGCTTGAGAAGTCAGAAGGCTAGAGAAGCAAGCTGAAGTCCATTCACCACACCATAATTAGCTATTTCTTAAGAAAACATGACCCAGAATCAATGACAAAGTAATTGTATGGTTCATTTAGAATTATTTCAGCGCTCAACTTTACCTTTAGCTAGAGCACTACTTCAACGCATCACATACCTGTTCTTCTGCCTGCAGTGTATTTATTAGCTCTGATGGCTTCAAAAGAGACAACAAACACAAGCAAACTAAAACATGAGCAATTGTTTACAGCAACTATGACAACTTGTTTTCTGTGGAAACAAGAGGATACTTTTATGTACCGAAGTTTACACAGAATAAACCTTTACAAGATACCTGGTGGTACAGGTTTATATGAACCCATGCCCAAACCTGCAGAGCAATAAGTGGAACTTGGGACAATACTTCAGAGCCTTCCTGAATCAGTAGAGATCATCTGAATCATTATCAAATTAGGATACAAAAAAAATGCACAATTACAAAAATTAAAACTTTAAACCAATATTGTAAAATATATCACACTTAGGTGTAATGATTCAACATAGTTGACTCTATCTGTCCAAGAGAAATTCTATTTTACTAAACAGTATTTTGTAAAAGATTACACATGTTTGGAGGTAGAAAAGCTAAAAGCTGATTTTCCTAATTCAGAGCGAACCAGCAGAACATGAAGCACAAGGCAGTGGAGTCATAGACCATATTGTAGAGAGTCTGAATAAGGAGACCATGATCAACTAAATCGAAAGCTTTTGACAAGTCAATAAAAACACCAGTAGCTCACCTTCTACCTTCAGGCTGCATCACTTTCCAGCCATGATTCCCTCCCATACTGAACCCAGTGTTTTATGGACCATCATTCATTTTAATACATTCAATTGGGAAACCACAAGAGCCGAATGGGAATACGTTTTCATAGTCAGTTTTCTACCTACTATTGTTTTTGTTTTCTTGTTTTAATTACATCTTGACACAATGTGTTTCAAAAAATGCTGTGTCAGCTGTTGAAGAGGACAAATAAGCTTGAATATAAAACGCTAAAACCGTTACTGTTTTGTGCCAGATATTCTTTAAACATCTGTTGTTTAAAATAATCCCAAACAGGGATGCAGTGATATCAAAATTCACAATGTAACACATCACTTTACTAGGCAAATCCAAGTTCACTGGTAAACTATGGACCAAGTGTGCTTTTGGCGGACGATCAAGTTTGAGATGCACCAAACTGCTAAAACAAAGTGACTCACTGAAGGTTAAATCAAGCACAGCATATGTTTTTAAGATATAGTGTACACTTGCATTGTTATCGATTTTTTTAGTCCTTTTTTTTCTTAAAATAAGCTAAATTATGTGCAACAAATGCGATAGCCTAGATTACATGCCGCCACTCTGACTGGTTTCTATATTAAGGGGCCGAGCTGAACAGCATCTACTGAGTAATTCACTTACTATTGAAAAGTACCTCATACAACCACACTTAATAAAATACTGAACTATCCCTTTAATAATAAGCTTCAAGCATAATACCTGAATGGCAGACTATTTCATTCTGGCAGGTTAGCTGAGCGGCATCTCCTATGGGTAATTTACTTGCTATTGACAAGTACTTCATACAACCCCACTTCAAAAATTCTGAAGTAGCCCTTTAATATTAAGCTTCAAGCATAATACCTGAATGGCAAACTATTTCATTCGAGCAGTTAGAGCCTGCATTGTACATATGCAGAATTCAAGTTTAGTTCCTAAAAGTCTGAGCTAATTTAGCACCTAGCATGCTTTAGTTTCCCTCACTCATACACAGCTAATCCTCACTATTTATTAAGGCATGGCCTCTTTAATGATGAAGACAAATGAGCTCATTATTAGGTGTTTGCTTGTGCGTGTAAGAGTGTGTTTTTGTGTGGGTTTTCATGTGCACATGAAACAGCCGCTCTCCTGCAGGTTCTGATGTGTGTGTGATTTTGAGTGTTTGCGTGTGATAAGTGCTTGTGAGTGTGTGTATGCAAATTCTAACCTTTACCTTGTCTCATGAGGTTAATTGCTTCATTTAGCCTTAGTTGTTGATTGTTTAACACTTAACGGTCTTCTCTTTCTTTCTTGACTGGGTGTGTGGGTGTACCTTTTTTGTGTGTTCTCGTCCATGAGTGTTTCATCCTGTGAAATATAGCCTCATGATCACTGCAATTTGAGCAGGGAAAGGGGAAGGACCTACCTGCTACTTAATGGTAATTATATTAGGGGTCCATATGGCGCAGTGTACAATGACATGCATTTAATTTCTCATTATTTGAAGCTATTATCAGATGTTGTTCATTTGCTAAGCATATGAGCGTGAGGCTTTCATGGACATGAAACATTGAGAGAAAGTGTCCCCACTACAAAAAGTAATTGACGCTTAATTATATTTTCATCTAAAGAGATCATTTAGGAATACATTCACAGCTAATGGTGTGTTTATTAGCAGAGTCATGCATGTGAATTGTGGAATAATTAGTCTGAGAAGGTGGGGTGGGGGAGGTTGTCTGAAAAGCACATAGCAGATTATAGCTGTGCATACCAAGTAGGTTGCAGTTCTGATACCGGACATTAGGGGGTGCTTAAAGACAGGGGGCAAATGAATGCAGGACTCTATGCAATACTAAGAAGTGTTAAGCACCAGTGAAACTTTTTTCAGACAGAACCCTTTCTATGAATCCCTCCAACTTTATTTATCATCAATTGGTCACAATGTCACCATACAAAACCAACTTCCAACTTGAAACCGCAGAGGAATGTGATTTTTTGATACGCACATACATCCAATAACAAAATTAAATACAATTGTTTTATAAAATAAACAGGGCAGAGGGAAAAAAAGACACATTAAGTAATATTAAGACATGCAGTGACAAATATAAAAAATAGACATTTTCTTTATTTTTCTGTACAAACATACATGGACACATATAAATATATAGAAGTAAAAAAGAGTGTATTTTTAAAATACAAAGGTCAAATTGTACAGTTACATTCCATTTTAACAAAACAGAGACATAGCACAATATTCAAGTGAGTTTGCCTTTTCCCACAGACACTGTACATATTGTACACTGTAATAGCAGAAATCAGATCACACAACTGTTGGTTTCTCCCCGTGGAGTCTGTTCACGCCGCTGTAAACATTACAAATGAAGAAAGGAGTACAGTTTCTGTTGGAGAATTTCCTTTTGAAATCTCTCAGACGAATTTCAGAGAGATTGTAATAACAACTGAGCAATCTGTTCTTGGAGAGCTCGCTTTGATGTCTTTAAGTCACCTCAATCACAACTTCAGTGCATGGTTTTACTTTCTCTGAGTCTCTCAGCACTGAGCAGAGAAGAGGTTATTTGGTAAAATATACAAGACGAGCATTACAGTGAACAAGAAACAGTCTTAATAAAGCTGATATATGTTGGCACAAAGAACAAGCAGTCGCCAGGATGATGTGAAATGTGAAATCATGCTTTGCGTTCTCTCTCTTTTTCTCTCTAGTTCTGTCTGACGTCCTGCAGAAGTTTGTTGATCTCATGAACTAACTCGCTAGCATCCATGTTGGCCTCCTGGCGGCTCTCGCTGCGCTTGGCACCCTGGTGACCCTGATGGAAGACACCATCAAAGTCATCCTCCTCAAAATTCTCTGGGATTTCCTCCATGGCTGGCAGCCATTTGAGGTGTGGTGGCTGTCCATTGGTCGGGGTGGAACTGGAGGTGGTTGAAGAAGATGAGGAAACATGATTGGCTGCCACAGATCCATTTCCAGGATTTAAATAGTGGGTATTGGCTGCCCATGCAGCAACACCTGGGGGGTAAGCAGAACCTTTCCCACCTGGCAACAAACCTCTCCGGTTGTCCTGAGGAACAGCGTTGTTACTATGGTTACCAGCAATGTTTCCATTCCGCGTGCTTCCTCTCTCAGCGGTTGATGAGGATGAAGGCGGGCTCGTTTCAGTGCATTCTGTGTATGAGTCTACATTAGGGGGGAGGAGGCGCTGGAATACAGAGTTCATCTCTGTGAGGAGGGAGCCAGCCCCTCCTCCAGATGCACAAGCATCACTTCCTCCTCCTGAAACAACTCCCCCAGCCCCCGCCTCCTCACCGCACTCTTTGCCAAAAGTGGAGAAACTCTTACGGCGCTCCGAGTCAACGGAGGACTGGTCATCGTCAGTCACCGGGGGCTGCTGTGAGGACTCCTCCCCGGGGATGTACATGTTGTTGCGATAGTCAGAGGAGGAGGCAGGTGAAGAGAGAGGGGGCATCCAGCACTGGTCAGAGTGTCCGAGGATGCGACATTCATCTGTGCACAGTCTCATAGCTGAAAGGGGAAAAAAGGAGATAAAAAGGGAGAGTCAGGAGAAGTTATGATATAAGCCAGAAGAAACCAAATAATAAAAAAAAGAGATACACTGCAAAACACCTGGGATTTTGAAAACTCTTACACTTAGTTGTGATAAAAATCTGTGTTGCTGTGGTAGAAACAAAAAAACAATATACTCAAATAATGAGCCATAAGCCATGTTTTAAGCATGGGAACAGGGGAAAGAATACTGGAGATGGTGACAAACCACTCTTATTTGGACAGCATATGAACACTCCATTTACAACCCATATTAAATATTCAATATGGTCGTGCTTTAGTCTTTCATTTATATCAAAATCACAGCTCAGCTGGGACATGATTAGTTTTCTTTTCCTATTCCTGCATAGAAGATCAGATTGGTGACATTTACAGCTTACAGCATTCATATCCAGGTAATACACAGGATGAAAAGAGCCATAGGAACTAGATAATGAACTAATAACTGTAAGTTGCCACCCAAATAGCATCACAGACAGTTGTTAATGTAATAATTGGCTGATGTGCCAAGCATGTCCATATCTCTCGAATACATCGCTGAGGCGAGGATTTACTTGTTTTCATCGTATCCAGCATGAAAAGCCAAATTTGCCCATCTAAATAGAAAAATCTAAACAAATTAAATCTATTGAAGAGAAACAGGGATAATCCTCCCTCTCGGCCCATTATCTCCTTCCTCTCCCCTGTTTTCATATTAGCATAAAAGATACAGGAAGGGAAGGGGAGGGAGCAAGTTTGCAACTCCTCCAAGTCTTTCTAAAAGGGAGAAGAAAAGGCAAGACAGAAACATGGCCCATGTCCACTACCACCCCTCCCTTCTGTTCATCTCAATAAAGATAGAGAATACATTAACAGGTATGGAAAAAAAGAGATGCTGAGGAGCTTTTAGGCGTGAAGAAAGGAGTGAGAGAGGGACAGAGTATATGCACGAGTGAGTTAGAGAGAGAGACAGAGAGAGTGAGAATAACATCATTCTAAAAGCAATTACTATGAATTCTCCTCAGTTCAGACATGAAAGTGCACCACTGTCACTCACCAAGGGGGGAAAAGAGAAAGAAAAGAAAAAGAGGGAAGGGGAAAAAACAGCACACTGAGACGCATACCGATGAGTGACAGGCGACTCATCTCCGCTCCAGGGAGGGTTTTACAGACACGACTCTAACTTAGGGGCAGATAACACACACACACACAACCACACACAGCCACACAAACAGCCAGACACACTGTAACCTCTCTCAGTGTGATAACGAGCGTGGAAATGAGGGCTGTGAGGAAGAATGGGGCTGAGTACAATGGTGATTATGTTGGCAGCAGGGTAAATGGAGTGGCTGTATAGGCAGGTGTACAGACAAATAATGGGCTGTGGTCCGGTGCTGTCCATGGTGCTGAATTTGTCAGACAGGAGATACATTAGAGAGCTGGGTGAGGCCAGGTCAAATCACTACTAATTCACTTGAGTGTATCGCCTCAGAGTCTCAAACCCAGACACAAACCATCCAAAAAGATGATTTGAAGACTTCACAAGATTTGATTGTTCTGAGGTGGGGTACATTTTGCTGAAGTGATAATTGAATGTGAGTTTCTGCTATGGAGGATGTAAACTGAGTAAAGCCTTTGTAAGGATGTTTTAAATCATGGTAAGTTCAGGTGGTTTTACTGAGAGCTCACCTGGGTGGAGTCGATGATGCATTTCAAGTTGTATCAGATCAGAAAAGCCCTCCCCCAGCAGCAGTCTGTCCACAGGAGATTCCCGGCCCATATCACAATCACTGTCCCCCGCCTCGCTGTCCCCACGGCCACTGTCCTTCAGGCTGAACTTGTCCATGTCTTGTAATGCATACCTAAGAGAGGGTTTAAAGAAAACATTACAAACACATACTCATCAATTGGTCAGAGATACTGTTTCAAATTGTGGAGCCTCTTGAATCATTCAAATATCAAGACAAGGCTTAACCCATCACTACTTCATGCAAGGAGATCCATTCAACAAATCTATCCCAACAGCAACTAGGGGCATCAATAAATCTGTAATCTGTAAGATCATAAGGCGATATCCTGATGAGAGTAATGATGGATGCACACTTTACAATTTCAACCATTTCTTTGAGAAGTAAACAAAATTGTTGTGACATTTAGACAAATGATCTGTATACTTCTGAACTGAATGACTTGGTATGATTAAAAAAACTTGAAAATGGATAAAGAAACATTTACACGCCGTCAAATCATGATCTTCAAAGAACCAACCAACTGACAGAAAACAGTTCACAACAGGTTGTTGCAACATGTAATACACAATGAACATTAAGTGACTTAAAAAATAAACAAAGGGTATTTTTCTAAGGGCAGATTTGGGAGGAAAACTGAGGGATAGGGGTAAATTACCTGTAGCTGCGGGAGTATTTGTTGCCACGGAAACTGGGTCTGGGCTGGTACTGGCCCTGATGGAGCATGGACAGAAGCTGTGAGACTTGCTACATCCAAAAATAACAAAAAAATAAAAAATAAAAAAAATTAAAAAACAGAAAAAGGGGGGGGATGAATAACAGATGGGAAATTAAGGAGGGAGAAAAAAAGAGACAACACAGAAGACAAAATAATGGATGAGTAAACACAAAATGGATGATGGAAAGGCTGCTACAAATGGATGAGACAAAATGGATGATGTTAAAAACAAAAATGGGGGGATTTCTAGATGAATATGGAGATGTACGACTGAGGGATGAGTAATGGTCATGATGGTGAAGTAATGATGACAGGGTGTAAACAAGGTAAAGACAAAGACACATCTAGAATCATCAACAGTTTTAATGAGAGTCCAATTGAACTACAGGGCAGTGTTGATTAAGTCACTGTCACAGAACCTGGTGTGTGTGTGTGTGTGTGTGTGTGTGTGAGAAAGAGAGAGTGAAATAGACTGAGTGAGAGAGAAAATTTGGAAAGGGGCTGTGCAAACAAATACATTTTTTAAATTTTTTTGAAAAGGATTTTCTTTCGTATGTGTGTGTGTGCATGTGTGTGTGTGCGTGTGTGTGTGCGTGTGCGTGTGCATGTGTGTGTGCTCTCACCTCCACTGGGGGAGTTGCGTGTGCCAGTTCCAGTGCAAAGCTCTCTGGAATGTGATTGGACGAGATGGTCACTAGGCTGTTTAGAGACTGGTGGCTGTGGTGATTCTGCCTGCTCCCGATCTGAGCCCGGTCCATGGGGGGTGTGGACGAAGGCGACCTGTGATGAGCTCTGATGGGCAGCGTACCGTTCACTGTGGGAACCAGGGTGATATCACCTTTGTGGATTTGACGGGAGGGTTTCTTGGGGTGGTGTGAGTGGGTCAGCTCGGTCACCCGGCAGTTGTAAGAGTTTCTTGTGTCTTTCTTCTCCCTGTTACAGCGAGCAGCAAACACCACCATGATGACCAGGAGCAGGGCGCAGATCGCCCCCAGAGAGATGATGATTATCAGGGATGCATCGAGAGCAGACTCTCCCTGATCCATCACCTGCACGTGGTTCTCTAAGTTCTCATAAAGGGTAAGTTTAAGCACCGCCTTAGCACTGAGGCTCTCCCTCCCCTGATCCCGTACCATCACTGTCAGCTCGGCATGCTCATGGGGGAAGTTCTCCAAGCTTGCATTGGCATGGATCTCACATGTTCTAGGATCAATAAGAAAGAAGCCCTCCTCGTTGCCACTGACAAGGGAGCAAATAAGCTCAGCGTTGACCCCTGTGTCCCGATCAGTCGCCCTGACCATGGTCACCAAATGTCCAGCCTCAGTGAACTTTGACGCAGGGACGTCAGCAGTGAAGTTCCATAGCTGGGGGACTACAATCACTGGAGGATTGTCATTCTCATCCAGAATATTCAGAATAACTGTGGAGTTGCTGAGCAGCGGTGGTTTCCCTGAATCTTTAGCTTGAACAACAAAGGAGATGCGACTCACATCCTCACGATCAAAAGTTCTCAGGGCATAGATGGCTCCATTAGAGGGGTCAATGGTGACATAGGTTGAGATGGAGCTCCCATGAACAGAGTTCTCCAGGATGGAGTAGCTCACCTGTCCATTGGCATCGAGGTCAGGGTCAGTGGCTAAGATGGAAGTCAGATATGCTCCTGGGGCGTTGTTTTCTGATTTAAAGATCTCATATCGCCCCTTCTCAAAACGTGGTGGGTTGTCATTCTCATCAGTGACATGCACAGTGAAGTGTTTGACAGTTGAGAGGCTCGGGGTCCCCTTATCCTCTGCCACCACTGTCAGACTGAACTCTGACCTCTTCTCTCGGTCTAAAGACACGTTAGTCAAAATCATGTAGTTGTTCTCGTACGTCTTCTGCAGTTTGAAATATCCTTGACCGTGAAGTTTACACTCAACTTCTCCATTCAAAGCAGAGTCCAAGTCCTCCACCCTCACCAAAGCTACAAACGTGTCCAGAGGAGAAGCTTCAGATATATAGGCTGCGTCCCCATTCCCCTGTGAGGACATGAGGTTGATGCTTATGTCTGGTTTGTTGTCGTTCACGTCCACCACTTTCACCAGGATCTTGCAGTGAGCTGGCATGGAGTTCGGACCCATGTCTTGCGCTTGAACATCAATATCGTAAGAGTTAACAGTCTCATAGTCCACACGCCTGACGAGGGTCAGGTGACCGCTGTCGGGGTTAATTCTGAATGTCTCCATTATTTTGGGGGACACGTGACTGCTGAACGAGTAGACTATTTTGGCGTTTGTCCCGTCGTCCACGTCAGTGGCGTTTAAGTCAATTAGCAGAGTGCCAACAGGTGAGTTTTCTGGGAGATTTATGACATAGGACGACTTGTCAAAAATCGGGCTGTTGTCATTTGAGTCAGCAACATTGATTTTGAGTAGGGTTGAACCCGTCCTCGGGGGAACGCCCCTGTCAGAGGCCGTGTACTGAAGTTCATAACCGGAGCGCACCTCTCGGTCCAGCTCCCTGAGCACCACCAGCTCTGCGTATTTGGCACCGTCAGTCCTGGATTGGATGTCAATCTTGAAGAAGTTGTTGGGCTCTAAGGCATACGTGTAGAGTGAGTTCTCTCCGACGTCGGGGTCCGTGGCACTGTCCAAGGGAATGCGCGCTCCCACGGCTGCGCTCTCGGAGATCTCAATGGGGATGACGGCGCGGGCAAACTGGGGTGCGTTATCGTTGATGTCTAACACTTCCACCTCGACGTGAAATAGCTGCAGGTGCTCAGTAGGGAGTGTCAGCACATCAAATTGAATGGAACAGTTCAGATTCTTTTCGCAGAGTTTCTCACGGTCAATTTTGGTCCTGATGCTGATTTCGCCGTCCTGCTCGCGCAGCGCGAGGAAAGACGAGCTCCCTCTTTGCATTGCTCTAAAGCGGAGCGACACCGAGCTCGGAAGTTTTGCCACGACATCAGCCACATCGTCTCTCAAACGGGCGATAACTGTGCCCACCTTCTGCTCCTCGTAAATCTGATATTTCAATGTCTTACCGGAGACGTGTTGTGTTGCCAGCGCCAAAAGAGCAAAAACTTTCCACATTCTTGTCAGTGGTAGTCCTTTCATTCCTCCTGTTTGCATTTTGTATAAGCAACAAACGGATCTAAAAAAAAAAAAAAAAAGCTCCAAAAGGCAGTATAGGTCGATTCCAGCTTTAACTTGCTATGGGCTGTGCTCCGTCAACCAGCAGATGCATCGCTTTATCAGCGAAAAACAAAAAAAACAAAAATAAATTCGACTGTGAAATGAAAGCTGGCTAAAGTTGCATTTATGCCCATAAAAGCATCCCAATTTCCTTCTGTCTGTCCTTCACTGTCAGGTAGATCTGTTGCGCGCATCCAGTGTGCGGGAGAAGCAGATGCAACTGAAATCTGTGCGCCTTTCTCCCTCTCCTCGCTGTGTCTGCTCTCTTCCTCTCCCTCTCTCCGTTTGAGGTGCCTCTGCACATAGACTTGCCCAAAATAGCCCGCCTCCAACCAACTATAGTAGTACACAAGCCCCGGCCCCCCTTTTCACATCCCGAGGAAGACAAACGCTTCTTAAATCAAAAGCTGGCTGGTGGCCACTCAAAGTACAAGAGGAGAAGCGAAGGAGGCGAAAAGAGGGGAGGAAGAAGAGAAAGTAGGGGATCAAAACCCCGCCCTGTGGGGGGTTCACTCTGCCCACTTTTCTGAGTAACGACCATGCCCCTACAATGGACAGGAGGGAAAATAAACTGAAGAAGAAAACATTCATTCAAGCTTCCCCTTTTCATTCGTGTAAAAGCAGGGGAAGGTTTACGAGTTCCTCGCTTCAGGTCTGTTCTCCCCAGACTACATGGAACCACGGAGAGTCTGAATTATCATTTGACTGATCCAAGACATAGCCCCCTTAATCACCAGCTTTACCAAGAACTTTATTAGGCACACTTTAATATATACCAAAACCCAGCTATAAGCAGATGTCACCAATCACTCATCCGACACAGTTACGCGCTGCATGCCATGGCTTTAAATGCAGTAAACCTAGCCTACTTTTTCAAGACTTTTGTTCCCTTCCTTTTCAAGTGGCAGCTGACTACCTCCCTCCCAATGCGCAGACAAACGGGGGTAAATATTTTGAGCTTTCACATGTATTTTTTTGGTCATCTTTGGCTGTCTAGGGGGGGAGTTAAGCCGGCTAAACTGTGTGGCGAATCGCGCAGAAAGAGAGCCGGACTCTAATGAATGCCTTTAAAGAGTTGGTCACGCCGAAGAACAGCTCTGTTCTCGTGCACAAATGTGTTCAGCATCACTTTCAACTCCCCGCAGGACGAGTATAACGAGCAGAGCATCCGAAACACCAGTTTGGGCAGGCATCTAATTCCCCTGGAATAAAAATGAATCGTATTTGTGTCAAAGCGCATGGATGAGAAAAAAGAGAAACAGACATTTTAAGAGAGAGACACAGATAGCGAGGGAGAGATAGAGAAAGAGAGAGAGTGTGTGCGTGTGTGTGTGTGTGTGTGTGTGTGTGTGTGAAAGAGAGATATGATTTAACGAACGTGCACAACTGGGACTGTGCATTTTGGAGACCATCTGGCGCGGTTTGTTTGGCACCAGGTCCCGGCGATAATGGCCGACCAAATAAGACGGAGACCCGAACCTCATACCACAGTGTGGAAATAGTTGTCTTTGGGGGATTGTAGAGTACCAAACAGCTTCTTTGGATCCTATTACACTATTTAGACTTTTGCCTTATGGTTCTGGTGTGCATGGTATTCCAGCAACAGGTTTTTTAAACCCTCATAAATATTGAAATCAAATATTATAGCACAAGTTGAAGATGAGGGACGATAACCCCACGAGCTTCCTCTGAAGAAACAAACAAAAACACAAAGCGTCACGCTCACTGATGTCTGACTTTAAGTTATCACGTGTCGAATAGTTTTACTAGTCTATAAATTACCTTAAGGCATAGATAGATACCAAATAAAAAAAAACTGATTAATAATTTACCACCAGCTGCTACTGACTGTCTGCATGAGGAATGTAAAAAAAAAATACATCTCAAGACTTGAAGATGTTATCCATTTGAACCAGGTCAGTCAGTGTGGGCTGATCTGTTTAAAGCGTAGCATCTGCACCGCTTCCAACGCTTTCTGCGCATTTGTCTGAAAACAATAACTTATTAAATATTCCAAACGTGCATGGACATCAACCAGAAGCTCCCTTCTTAAAAGCCTGAGCCCCGAAAAGGCAGAAAACCTTTATTCCCGCTCAACGTGTCTATTCATCGCCTGAGCCATGTCTGCAAAATGTTTGCATTCACTCCCTCTTTTTGCACATCTTTCACTATAGTGCGCTTCTTATTTAAACAGGTTTGATACGGGCACCCGGCATTTCCATAGCTCCAAATGTTCACAATGCAGTAATGCAATTATTCCCTGCGTCCCAGAGAAGCTAATCACATTTGGAGAACAAAGTCAGCTCCGGAGTTTATGGAAGAAGAGAGGAAAAGAAAAAAAGACAGAGTGGAGGGGGGTGGGGTGAACTGGGGTTTTAAACACTGCAGAGAATAAAACAATTAATGTATGGGGGGGTATAATCTAAGTAAAAAGCAGATGGAGACTTAATACATTTAGGCACGCTACATAACCAGAGGAGCCAAACAAACATGGCCTTTGTAGTGTTTAAGAACATCAATAATTAAGTTTAGAAAATATTCATGCTCTGTGTAGCAGGTGCAGAGATGGCGGTATGTCTGTGGGATTTAGGAGGTTTTTGCCTCCAGCTCCCCAAAGATACTTTTATTGATCCAAAGGCGGCTCTGAGGCCCTGATCGGTGCCTCTCCTCAAATGCACGCGATCAGCACTAAACAAAACAAACAGCTCCAGCGGCTTGGTGCAGCTCTCTACATCTCTGCCGATGTGTGTCGGGCCTTGTAGCCATAAAGTGATAGTGTGAATTAAACGTCTGTCGCAAACATTCATGGCAATCTTGACAATGCCCCCCCGCCCTCCACCGAATCAATAAGCGCAGCAGGTGGAGTGGTCATAGTGACGCACCTCCGGACCCGGGTTCAGAGGAATGCTTGTGTGCGCGCGTGTGTGTGCACGCGGATTGCTGGTGGTCATGGTTGTAAAGGCACGCGAGCATCTGTCGCCTCGTCTGCCCGCTCATTGTCACTTATTCAATTAGCAGCGATTTGGTAGATTCCATTCCGGAGGGGAGGAGTAGAAGCAGAGAGGTTGGGAGTTTGCTTTCACTGCTGCTGGAGGGAGAGTTTATACCTCCCCCTACACACACACACACACACACACACACGCACACACACGCACCATGCACCCCATCAGTGAAATGATTGTTATTCATGCGAGGCTCTTCCCTACCCCCCCTCCCATGCTTTCACCAGGGGTTCATAGAGCTTTATGACTTTATGACTCGTTGGCCACCATTGTGTGTGTGTGTGTGTGTGTGTGTGTGTGTGTGTGTGTGTGTGTGTGTGTGTGTGTGTGTGTGTGTGTGTGCATCTGTAGAAGCTGACAAAAAAGGGTGCACTGCCTTGTTCTTGCTCACAGTGCATGTGGTGATCACACTCAGGGCGCAGCATATTGCAAGCGATGTCAACAGTTGGGCGACAAATTTATAGCCCCAGCAGAACTATGGGGGCAAAGAAAGAATGTGTCTGGTCACATTAAAAGTGTTCGCGTTACTGCACTGCTCCGCTACTCCGTCAGCCAGCACCCCATGAAAAGAACAGGCTGTTATTACTTTTTTTTGCAGACTTTACTGACTTATGCGGTAGGAGAGGTGTATAAAATATTCATACCTCTCCTCCTGCAAGACCAGTACAAAGCGTCATTTTCACTCCGGCATGGATACACTGTATGGTTGACCAATGCATTTCTGTTCTATTCTCCTCTTGAAGCCAGGTGTGACTGGGAGTTTGTGAACTGTCAGTGCTTTGCTTTGAGGTTTGGCTGTTAAATTCCCCCATTAGAAACTTCCATTCTATCCCGTTTCACTCAGTCCTAGGATGTTTCTATTGCGTTTTTGTGGAATACTGACTGTTTCTAATAATTTTATTATAAGTAATTATTTCTTATGGCCTCATTTGTACCCTGTGATTCATACCCAGCTGACTTTATGTGTATACACACACACACACACACACACACACACACACACACACACACACACACACACACACACACACACACACACACACACACACACACACACACACACACACACACACACACACACACACACACACACACACACACAGGCCAGCACACACCTTATCTGACTGAATGGCATTGACAGCGAGGTGCTTTGCCCCACCAAGACATGGCACAGACAAACACAAAGGCTTCACAAACAATCAGCACCACAGCACTCAGGACGGTACCCCCCCCCCCCCCCCTCTTAACTGTATATTTAAGTCAAGCTCAGATTTATATTTTTGAGGAAACAAACTTACTTTCTATTCTCATTCTTAAGAGAATTGCATTGCCTGTGTGGTAAATAATGGAAATTAAAGGACTGTCATAACAGAATGACACTGTTCAGACATATAGATTAGGTTTTCTTTTTTGTTTTCTTGTTTTGTTTTTATTATTGTCATTTCCTGTTTCATTTTGTTACTTACTCTTCTCTCTGTGTTCCAGATCCTGCTTCTAAGGTTTCCCGCATTGTGTGTCAGTCTGGCACTGATCGATTTCACCTGTGTCTTGTTGTCCCCTGATTGTCTGTGTATTTAATCCCTATGTGTCCTCCCTCATGTTGCCACTTCATTGTGTTTTTCCTCAAATTAACTGTGTCCATGTGTTTTTCCCCCACATAGTTCTTGTGTTTGACTTTTGACCGTTCCTTTTGCCTGCTCTTTTGGACTACATGTGTATTGAACCGAACTGAATAAACCTTCCTTTTGTACTCTACCCTGTGGAGTCTTGCTTTTGAATCTTTTTGAGTGTGTCTTTGTTTCACACATCTGCAGGTTGAATTATTTGCTCTGTGTTAAATTACATTATTTGTGCTTAAAAAAACTGTTAATACATAAATGTTGGTCCCACTACGAGTGGCTGAAATAGGGAATTATTAAAGGAACACTTTCGAGATGCAGCAAAGGTCGGACTCTGCACGTCTCACAGGTGTGTTAAAAGAGCCTTTCTGTGCACTTGACATATACTAAAGTGAATTCTTGCAGAATATATGTTTAAGGTACATTTAGTGTTTATGCATAATATGTATAGTATGAAGATTTATTGTCAACAAACTTTTTGAAAAAAAAACAACTAATACATTCAGAAAACAAGCCTCTAGGAAATGAACTTCAACAGCAACCATGCCTCGCTACAATTCATTTATAAGGAACACCATGTTGCATTTTTGAAGGATGACCGAAGTATACATGATCATTGCCACCAGAGCTACAGTACAACCTACATCTCTGAGGTCTCTATTGATCTGTATTCAACTTAATCTGACATGAAAACAAATGTTAAACGAACTCTTATAAATATATAAAAATATAAAATTCATGAGCAACAAAGCACCAAGTTTCAGTCTTTTC